CGGGGAGAGGCCTTGCCCGTCACTCTGGTGAGGTTCCCGCTGCCTCTCTGCCCGAAAAGTTGTGTAGCAGAGTGAGTCTGCAAGCCTAACGCCACACTCGTGTTTGTTAGGTTAATTAGTGACGATTAGCTTCATAGGATCGAGGATTTTTTCCTTGTTATGTGGTAGCGCTGCCTTTGGTTCTTTATGTACTGCGCTTTACAGTATTAAGGCTTTGCAAAATGCTTTGTAAAGCCTTGATCCGAGGCTTAGTCATACGTGAGTTTATATTTTATGCACGAGTTTTGAACCAGTGTTCAAACTTAATATACTCTTTAGCTTACAGTTCACCTCCTAAATTGGAGAAACAGGTTGAGCTCTGGTAATCATCTTTTTAGAGTTGGTGTTTTTTTTTTTTTTAATGATTTTGCCTGATTAACTTTTACAAACTGCATCATTCTATATCATATTCGTTCTGCTCTCTGCGCTATGGGTTTTTTTTAAGTCTGTGGGATTTTTTTCCTGCTTTCCCCCAAGGTCTTCATTCTGCATCAACTACAGCCAGTCTCAAAACTGAGACTGAAGTGGACACGAGTGAAAATGAGGTTGTTGCCCCAGACTTCACTAACAGGAATCCTCGGAACTTAGAGCAGTTGGCACTGGCTAGGAAGGAGCGTGGCTGGAAGACAACGTGGCCAAAGCGTGAATTCTGGCATAGGTGAGTCAGAAAGTCAATAGCAGAAATGGAGTCTCCAAAAGACAAAAAACCCCCCAAACAAACCAAAACCAAACCCCAGAAACCCACCAGGTAAAAAATCTACAAAACGCACTTTTGGAGTTGCTCAATCAGGTGCCCCTTTAGTTGTTCTTAATCAACAGGTATGTTCTGTGTTCAGAGAACAGTAGGCTAGCATCACATGAAAGTTAGCATATGTGTTGAAGATGTTTTCATCTGTTATTAAGGTAGCAGTAATATTGCTTAAGCAACAGCAGTTTAACTTGGGGTTCTCCTAGTCCCGTGTTGACCATGCATCATTGTTTTATTTGAGGTACTGTAATAGTTTGTTTGGGGGAGTTGGGGTGTTTGTTTGTTTTTAGAAAATGCTCATGGCTTTTCCTCTGGAGCACAAGTTCATTTTAAGCTGGGGATTCAAAATCATTATTTTGTTCTTGAGGGGAGAACCATGTCCAGTTTGTTCATACCTGGAGATCTGACATTGTCTCAGTGCAATAAGAAATAGTTGCTTCTAATACCCCGTGGTTATATGTTACGGCTTATGAATTGCTGCTTGACCACTTGCCGATCCTGACAAGTTGTTACCTGCTGTGTAAGCACAAGCCTTTAAGAGACTGCGAAGTGCACATTAAGGTACATTTCTGCTGGAGCAGTTCCCCTGGTCTAGCTCATACATACCTGTACCACACTGTGCAGGCATACAGTGCTTGGTTTGGAGTGAGTGCTGGTGTGAGGCAGCGCAGGACTGTGCACCCGAGTAACTGGTGAAAGGTTCCTCTTGAAATTTCAGTCTGATGAACTGGTAATGTGAGTCCTATTTTATGTCCTCATAAGCAGAATCCTAGATAATAAAAGCAATATTAAGAATTTATGACAATATTAATAGTTCTAGTACATTCAATTTTATTTCATAAAGTAAGTCACATGCATTTAAGCATTTGAATGTGTTCTCTCTTTACAAATAGAAAAGACATCATGATACCATGTTTTATCTTTCCTTCACTCAGATTGCGGCTTGAGCGGACACAGCATTACGTAGAAGCCTTTGTTGAGCGCTGTAATGGGGATGTTGTGGTATCTGCCTCTACCCGAGAGTGGGCCATAAAGAGACACCTGTACAGTCCCAAGGGAGTAACAGCATGCAAAAACCTTGGCCGCGTAATGGCACAGCGCTGTTTGGAAGCAGGAATTAACTTTGTGAACTTTAAAGCTGTTATCCCCTGGGAATATCGTTGTGACTCGGCAAGTACCTATCTCCTGATGCTTATTTGGCCCTTTTTTCCTTTTTAAGCATTAATTTTACTCCTCTTCAGCATTAGTTTTCTTGGGTGGCTTGACAGTCCCTTCTTGCCACACTCAAAAGGGTAGCTGTGACAAGCTGCAGTTCCTGGCGTTATGTTTCAGTGAGGCTGTTACCCTCTGCTCCTCCGCATAACATGTCCCCACTGGTATTTTGGTGCTGATGACTTTTCTTTGTATTTATTTGTCTCTCTGTTTTTTAAACAAGATTCAGGAATTCGAAAAAGCTATGGAGGAAGGTGGTGTCGTTCTGCGTGAGCCACGAAGGATCTATAAGTAAAATGGAGACTGTTGGGAAAACCTTCCAAGGAGCAATGATCACTTTGTTAGGTGCCTGTACTGGCACAGTGAAGGTCCAGAGCTGGAAGAAGTTGGAAGATGGCATCTTATAATAAAATATTTTTAAATGAACAGAAGCGTGTCATATTCTTGATTCTAAAATTATCAACACCTTTAAGGCTGGAATAAACTGTTGTCATAGTTCAGCCTGACAGGTTAACAGAATTCCCTTCAGAATTCAATAACTTTTATATATTTTATTTTTAACATTTCATTTTGTGTTTGTTCTAACCTAAACTCTCGAAGTGGTTAGATATTTGATGGCTGTACCCTGCCAGTCTAATTTAGCAAAAGGCAGTCACGCTGTGAATGTTTAGAGCTGTAATAAACTTGGTTAAAAGATCAAATTCTCCTAACACCTGTGGCAGACGCCACCCGCCCTGCTCACCGCGGCTCCCGGGCCAGCCCCGGCCTGGGGCGGGCTCTGCCCTGTGGTTATTTGAAAGCCGGGCACGCAGGCGCGGAGGGAGGCCGGCCA